CTCTGTCACTTTGCTCTGGCTAAACTGGCTTCCTTGCCTTCACTTGATTGCTTCAAACCCCTCTTGTAGCTGAGGACCTTTGCTTCTCTGTCAGGAACACTCTTCCCTCAGAGCCAAGTGCCTGTGTCCCCTTATTTGACCAACGAGCCTTTCCTAGCTTGCCAACTCAGATAGCACCCTAATCACCCTGTCTCCCTTAGCATGGGTTTTGTTTTTTCTTCTTTAGTGTTTACCAATTCTGGGCCTTTATTTGTTCATTTTCTGTCTGCATTAGTATGTGTGTTTCTCGGAGCATAAATTTTTAGGAAGTTTATCTATTTTGTTCACTGTTGTATCCTCATACCCAGAATAGCATCTTTGAATAGTGGATACTCAAAAAATGTCTGTGGAATAAATAGGTGAAGTTAATTGGATACAGATTGTATAGATATTGATAGATTGGCTGGTAAGAAGGTTGTGTAGTCCCTGGATTGTTTATACCTTCTCAGTGAATTAGAAGCAAGTCTGTGATAGGAGAGTGAAGGAAAGAGGGAATATTGGAGGTTGGAGGGAGAAAGTAAAAAAGACTGCATTATAGAAAGAGCTGGAGATTTGTGGATATAAATTAAAAATGGGAACAATTAATATGATTGTGTGTTTTCTTCCAACCACTTCAGTTCAGGCACAAACATGGAGTAAGAGAACAGTGGAGTTAACCACGTTAAGGGTTTATTCCTGGCAGATAGAACAGAGAAAGGTAAGAGCAAAGAAGTTGGGGGAATATGCAGACCATTGCTTATACTAATGGGACATTGTATCTAAGCTAAGTAAGAGCTAAAAATATAGGAAGTAGAAAGCAGAGAGTGTGATGTTAGAAATCAGTGTTTCTAAAGTGGTAAAACTAATGATAATGATGAATGATCATGGGAACGACTGACTAAGGAGGAGTGGAAGAAGAGATTGTTGCAATTGAGAAATAGGTTAAAAAAGAAACTGACAGACAGGGATGTTGAATGGATCATCCACATGAGAGTTGAAGCTGTTAAAATGATAGGACAAGTGGTCGAGATAAAGTTGCTAAAACTTGCTAAAATTTTTAGTATAGGATGAGTGATAAGAGGATGGGAAGATGACTACAAGAAGTTGCAGGTTATATTGCTTGATGGCAGACATTTCAAAGCAACCAGAATTTTGTAGGGTCAAGGGAAGAGAAATGGTTTGGACCTAGCAATAAAGAGCTAGGACACTTCCTTCCAGGTCCTGTGGGCAAGTTGCCCACTGAGAGAGACAAAGACGAGTCACCAGTTTGAGAGACTCTGAAAAATGTAGTCATGAGGTGGTCAGGTTTCTGTCAGATCAAGCAGGGGATGAGAATAATCAGATGTGGCTAAAATTCTCTAGTCACTGGAGACACTAGCCTCATGTAGAAAAACCTCAATATTTTTTATGTGTTTCTCTTTCGATACTTGCATTTTGTAACAGATTTTTGCATGTTGAAAGTTTTTAATTTTCAAATCCTCATAGGCTAAAACTATCATTCCCCAATTTAACAAAGCTCCAGTTGTCAAGTCTTCTCATCAATCATGTTGGTGATATGTACAGGTTGATATGCCAGAAACGGGAGGCTAAATTAAGCAGAAGCTCTGCAGAGGAAAATGCTTGTGAAGATTTAAAGATATTTGTCTACTTATTTATCCATTAATAACTTTTACATTTTGCCTTTTTCTGCAAAAGATTTGAGAAGCACAACTCCATAAATTGCAGCATGCTCTCTGGTCATTATGCGAACTAAAAATGAGCCTAAGAAGCTGGAAGAAACACAGGCACAAAATAAGAAGACTTATGGTCTCAAAGCCTGCAAAGACCATGAGATAAGGCTGAGCATTTCTGTGGAAATACTGATGTACTTGACTGAATCCTAGAAGCCTAGAGCAGTGGTCTCTACTCATATTGTTCACCCTAATTTACCAAGAGTATTTGAAGTCCCAGAGTCCAGGTCTAGGCCACATGTGTGATAGTCATGTGGCTCCAGTCTAACAGAAATTCGCTGTTGGAGCCCCTCTTCTCTTTTCCCAGTCCATTAGCACCTCTGTCTCCAAGCATCATTCTCACAGTGCAAAACTGCTTTTCCTTTTCTTTCCTGAAGTTCCCATTACTTTCTTCTTCACATATTTTTCGACCCGTCTTCCCTTTTTTTCCTCAGGCCTCTCAGGCTCAGCACAGGAGTGTGCATATTTTTTAATTTTGGAAAATGTAGCTATTTGGGATTCTGAGAATCCCTTTGAAAGTCTAAGAACCAATAGTCCAGAAAATTTAACAGCACATGCACTTTTTTACAGGCACGAGAAACAAGCAAGTCCATGGAGACTTCTGCCTTGAGGTTAGATATGTACATGTGAAGAAGAGTATCTCTCTTTTCTCTTTAAAAAAATGTGAGACTGAAGAATATAGGTTTGGGGCTTCCAGGGGCCATGTTAGGTGGCATTTGGGGTAGGAGGAGACACAAAGACAGAAAGAAAACACTACTGTGTTTGAATTAGAACCCTGAGATTTAGCTGTGTTTGAAGGTAGATTCACTGTGACTTCCTAGTTATGTGTGCAAATAAACTGCTTTTTGGCTTTAGCAAGTTTGAGCTGGGTGTGACTTATGGCTAAAATGTTTTGATTAATATATAGTCTGAATTGTATTGTGGTTTACTGTCTGGGACAGACTGATGGAGCAGTTTCCAAACTTCTCGAATCCTAGAATATTGTCTGTGTTTCTTTATTCCTTTGCTGTGAAAGCTTCAGAGCCTGTCAATTCAACGTACAGTGACTGGGTTACTTCTTACCAACTTGTATTTTTGTTCACAGTGAATCTCTCTTGTGTAACTGCCTCATATTGGTTTTTAGGTATTAACTGCATGGATTATATCTTTATTCACTCTTCTTAGTCCAATTTTGTAACTGTTGCTGCATTATTATATGGGATATTTATGAATATTCTCAGGAGTATGCTGAATTGCACAGACTGGCATTTATTCCAGTAGAATATACTTTGTTTGCATTGTGAATTAATTTTAATAATTTAAGCTTTCTTTGGAAAAAATATGTTAAAACACCCTAAGCCTTCCAATGAACCATATGAATGACCAAAACTTTTATTATAGTTTAAGAAGCCTTAGTGTGACTATATGGCTACTTAATGAGGTAGTACGGCTACTAAATGAGGATCCTTTAACAATTCCTTATAAAAGTTTTTCTTCTCATGGAAACTAAAGGTTTTTATAAATGGTGACCACCCTCTTTAAGTAAGGCACTCTAGGCTCTGGCAAAATTATATTTGCCAGAAAAATATATATATATAGTTCTGCATGGTGTGGCTCAGTGGCTTGGTCATCATCCCACAAACCAAAAGGTCAACAATTCGATATCCGGTCAGGGCACATGCTTGGGTTGCAGCCAGGCCCCTGGTTGGGGGCAACGGATCTTTGTTTCTCTCCCACATCAATTTTTCTCTCCCTCTCTTTCTCTCTCCCTTCCCCCTCTCTAAAAATAAATTTAAAAGTCATTAAAAATATATAAGTTGCAACCAAGCAAAAGAACATCTAAAGTTTATGAATATTCACTTGAATATTCTTTCTTTATTTTCAAAGAATATATCGTTTTGGTTAACGTTTTTATTAGAGAATAAAAATTAAATGGACGAATGTCATAATCTTGAAAGTATGTTTGGTTATCACCATTGAATCATGATTAGAATTTTTCTCAGGCCCATCCTTGCTTCCTCAGGGGATGTAACTTAAATGGTAGAATTCACTCTCCATATGCAGCTGTGTCTTGATCGTGCCCACCAAGCTTGGCTTTGAATTGCACATAAACCTCTGCATGTTCATTTCTAAAACCATGTGAGCTCTGCCAGTAACAGGATTCTGGACAGCTCAGATGGCAGAGACCACAGTAAGAGTGCAGGTATTGCCTATACATTGCTTTGGTGGATTTTCTTTCTAGTATATGACTTTTAGGATCTAAAACTTTAATCCACTGTGATTAAAAGAGTCAATCATTGGCTTAGAAAAGGGAAGTACTCCTGATTTTTTAATATCCTAATGTAAATGGCTATTGTTTTAAACCTAGAGATCAAGTAGCAGCGGTAAACCAACTGGGATTCCTTAATGACAAGCAACAGAAAACTAACTCTGGATACCTTATATAGGAAAGGAAATTTGGTGGATTATATAATATGCAAGTTCAAAGGGCAGACTAACTTATGCTTAACTGAATCCAGTGGATTATATTATATCACCAGTACTCATTTTTCATCTCTCAAAAATGATTTTTTTTCTGTTTTGACTTTGTTTTCAGTTAAGTGGTTTCTTATGGTATCAAAATTGGTTTCAGGTAATGGCATACTCTATCCTTTTTTTAACCTCACAATTTCAGAGAAAAAGCTATTTTCAGAGAAAATATAGAATCAAGAAATTCAGAGAAAAAATAACCTATTTCTTGATTATTTGAGCAAAGTTTTTAGGGCGGGCCATGACGGGTGACTTGGGCCTGGTAGATATCCCTGATGCAGTCTCTATGGCCAGGGAACAGAGTTCTCTGACTGATTAGGCTGTGTTAAGTGTGCAAGCTTGTGGGCGACAGGCAGGTAAAGTGATGGACAGCTCCAGGAGGGTGGGGACGGGGATCCATAAAACAAAGGAAAAGAAGGAGGAAGAATCATTTGAAATGAACTTGTGCCTGAGTGGTGATAACCATGAATTTTGATAAGAAAAGGGCCATGTTAAGAGGTCTGAGAACTTGTGACCCGTATTTGTAACTAGTTCTACTTGTGTATGAAGCAGAGAGGAAAGACATGGGGGAAAACGACAAGGGGGTGTGGCGAGGGAAGGAGGTACAGAAAAAAGCTTAGAAGAGCCTTTGCCAATTACCTGATTCACCCAGGTGGTTATTACTGTTTCTTATTCTTTGCTATAATTAAGGCATTTATAAGGTGGGAGTATCTTTCAGTTTCTTTCCTTCATTTTGCCTTTTAGGTGGACAAAAAGATTGTAAGAACTGAGATAGGAGTTCTTCTTCGCCTCTCACATCCAAACATTGTAAGTGATTTTTTAACTACTATTCCAAAAATCTCCAAATGTAGAGAGTGGGATTTGTGAGCTTTGTGCTGTCCACACTGATTGTGAGAAAGGGATTCTCCCACCACCACTAAGCAGCCACAGTCACCAGGCTCTTGTCCTCGCTTGTCACATTTTTCATATCTTCAGCTGAATAAATCTTAAAGACAGTACCTTTTGAAAGGGTTTTTAAAATGGACAGATCAGCATATATACCATCTTTATTTTCATGCACAAAAGGACAGCTAAAATTCAGATCATTTTGTTTCACTCTACTTAAACACTGGCTTTTTCCTTCTGCTAAAAAAGCCTCTGAAGAAAATGCGCTGCTTTCCAAAGTCATTTCAGTCTCATCAGAGAGGGTATCTGCTTCAGAAACAATGTGAAGATTCAAATAAATGATGTGCTTGAATGGGGAAATTGAAATATTTTCTGAAACTCTGCTCTAGGCTATGTCCAGACAAAGGCACTAAGGGGAAGGTCTGGCAAAAGCTTTCTGGAGCCACTGAAGTGAAAAGAACAGGCCAGCACTTGATTTTATGAATTGAACCAACTACTTAAAGAAGACATTTTACTCATTTCTCTGAGAGAGTTCTGTCCAGGAGGGTGACCTGCAATGCTTAGGCCTAAGGCAAAGTTCTTGAACTTATTATAGGAGTTAACAATGCTTTTAGCTATAAAAAACAGAAAACTTGAATGTAGTGGTCTAAACAAATATTTTTTTTAGTTTATAAGAAATCAGAAGGCAGGCAGTCACCAGCATTGGTTCCACTCCTCAGTGATGTCATCGGAAACCCAAACAGCTTCCTCCCACTGGTTCTGCCTACCTCAGGGCATTTGCTATCACCCTCATACCTTTCCCTCATGGCCCTAAAACCACTGCTCCACACCCTCCACAAGCTTCCAGCCTATATTCAAGACAGAAAGAAGTAGAAAGACCCCAGAAGCAGAGTTTGATGAGCAAAAGATTTTCCAGAATTTCCTGCTGCAGCAGAATTCCCTTCAGATTTCATTGGTCAGAGCTGGCCACAAGAACAAGCTGAACTTCACAGAGACTGGGAAAATGGGGAAAAGGTTGTCATAAGAGACTCACACCAATCATGATCCATAATTTGAGTCTGACACCTTTGTTCCCTAAACAAATTCAGAGTTCTGTTTACAATAAAGTAGGGAGAGAAGGGCTTTGGGTAAGCAATGAGTCATATTTGCCACATACAGTCATGATGTTTGCACTGTCCATAGTTTTTCTTTCAAAGAGAAGTGAGTGTAGAATTTTCCTCAAATATAGATCAGCCCTATCACTAGATTATCAGATGTATTGAGGAAAATATCCAAAATCAGATGGATTATCTCAATGTGGTGAAAGCCCTCTTATGGTCAATCAGGTCATTGCCATTATTACTTTTGTGAGGATCCCTTCATCCACCAGCAGCCTTTAGCAGCTGAGGGATATATTTTCCACAAAGACACACTTTAACCTGGTCTTGTCCTGTCTTAGACTGTGATTCCAAGTTCCTCCCAGGAGAAGGAGGCATTTGCATTTTCATCAACCACGATGCTTCCAAATGGTTTAGGAAGTTTTGTTCATTTGCTTTTATTTTTAAATTCTGCAGTAATTTAGAAATCAAGATATTTTGATAAAAATTAGAAAGTGTTTCTAAGGTAGGCATCTTTCACAGGTCAAAAGAAAAAACATAAAAACTCAAAAGGACCGTTGAAGAAATGAGGTAACTGATAAAAATAACCATAGTGACAAATGGCTCCCTGGTACTTGCATAGGGACCTTTGTTGACAATGATCCAACATGTTGCTATTACAGAGTTTTGGTTTTGCCGTAGCTTTAGCTATTTCTCAGAAAAGTGAAAGTAAGGAATCTGTGATTTTTTTTCTATATCTTTCTTCAGATAAAACTTAAAGAGATATTTGAAACCCCAACAGAAATCAGTCTGGTCCTAGAACTCGTCACAGGAGGAGAGCTGTTTGACAGGTAAGTTGATCCCAGAAATCCAACCACAGAAAGGCTTTGCTTCGTCACCAAAAAATAATCAAAGGGAAATTGCTCCTGAAATTTTTCATGATGACACATCATACCAGTTAATACAGTCTACTAAAATAAATCTTAAGAGGAGTATGGAATGGAAGGAGAGTGATAGCTGATAAGACGTGAGTGGGTGAAAAGTTGGGATGCTTAGTGAGCAAAAACAGAAAACACTGTATCTGTTTACTTTGGCAAACATTTACTTCCTCAATCAAAAAACAGAATTTCCAAAGTCATACTAAATCTAAATAGTCACATTTACGAAAGTATTTTGTGAGAAAACATTGGATGAAAATTATAGAAAGTTAAATGTGTTATAACAGTATCCTCTGTTAAGATCCAAAAGCTCTTAAAAATCAGTACTCTTCAAATGATTATTTTGAGGCCTTCTTTCTCTTTTAGGCTGTGTAAAGAATTCCAAGATGCAGAGAAAAACATGTTCTGCTATATGTAATAATTACCAATTTTAGTTGCTTGCTCCTATGTTCATCACCTGAGGCAGAAGTTTCAGGATGGTAGGGAGTGTGCCTAGGAAACTTGTAAAGTGTAATATTGGCAAACTGTACAAGAGATAAAAGATTTAAGTCTCCATAGCTTTCCCACCTTCCTCATCTTTTCAGGAGAATTCCCTGTGTACCCTGATGATCCCTTGGGACCCCTTTGCTATGTTCATTGGGGTAATCAAAAAATAATAATAAAAATGAAATAAGTCAAAGAAATAAGTGGGCATATATTAGAAATAGTAAGAAGCTATGCACAGATGTAAAGGCCTTGTTGGTTAAAAAAATAGATTAAGAAAGATGTGGACTGCAGACAGAAGAGAGATTGAGGGAATTGCTGATATATACTAATTGCCTGGAGCACAGTAATCTCTCAATGAATATTCACTGAATGAATGAATGAGTGAATGAATGAGCAACCACTGAGATGAGTACACTCTGAGAAGGAAGACTTTTAAAAAGGATAGGTTTAGAATGTTTTGGGAGAGGAGCACTTCTCCCCTTCATTCCCACACTATCCTCACCCAGGTAAATTTGCTACCTCTTCAACAGCTTCCAAAAAAGTATTTACACTGGTTTTCAAAGCTTCTGTTCTTAATGTTACCTAGTGCAGATTTGTATCTTCAAGTAGGAAGGAACAAAACAGTGGAGCTTAATTGGCACTACTTATGTATCTTCAACAGTATATCTATTCACTGCAAATAAATGAATCAACTCAGGAAAGTGGGCATCAGTTTTTAAAAGGATATGAGTACTTCTTCTGGTAATTGGCTGATGGTTAGACCAAGGTTCCAAATGCTAACTTAAGAGACAAATAAGTAACCTAGAGTGATTTGCTTAATTTCTCTGAACTTCAAAACAAATTTGAAGCGCTATGATGCTAAGGAAGCTAAGACACTGGTCCACTCTGCCTCTGATCTGGGACAGTCTGAGTACTCTGTGTAAGGACAGTCTTGTTCTAAAACTATCATTTTATGTCCCCGTGCTTAGTGAAGACTCTTCTGAACTAGCTGAATTGAATGTTGCCAAAACTTGCCAACAGTGCTCCTTTTTCAGCACCTCTTTAGCTGACTCTTTCATGAACATATTCCTTCTGTAGGTAGGTACATTTAGAACCAATTTACAGTCAGATCCTGCTGCTTCTGTAGCCATGAAATCTCTCAAAAGAGAACTTATGTATTTCTCTGCTCACTACAGTCAATCAGAAAGAAATCTCACATATTTTAATTGTAAGTAATTGTAGGACCAGGATGTCACACTGAAGCTATTACCTACCCATAGCACTTAATATTTACCTTACCTACCTCTGTTTGTTCAAGTCATTTTGGGACTAAGGGTCTCTTTCCTTCCCTTTTTCCCAAACTTTCTTTCATGAAAGAATGCTTGCTTTCTCATCTTGTTGCCTAGTTGATTTTGATGGGATAGAGTTAATTCAACTTTAGACAGAAATGAAAAACTAAATGCTGTTGATAAATTTCATTTATAGAGAAAATGGATGAGATATTCAGAATTAACAGAATACATCTGAAGAATGGCCAGCAGCCAGTAAAGCACTCAACCACTCTGTAAACGCTTAGTGGTTTTAGACAAGAGACTGTTTCCCCCCTGTGAATGTTGTCTACATATCTGTTGCCATATCTGAGATGAACTGGGTTTCTCCATTAAATTGTTTAATTCTACAGTTATCTTTAAAATTATATCAGGCTGAAAATATATCCTGCATTATTATCCATGTATTGCTCTCTTTCTTGAGAATTAAAAATCATAATATACTTACTTTTCCCTGTACTTAGGTCAAAAAAATTTATTTTGTTTTGATGATGAAAATGCATCCCTGGTCTAATGATGGCCTTAATGGTATCTAATGAATGAACTAATGGAGCAATTGATGAAAAGATAATCATGTTAGCACATTATACTCAAAATGGTTGTATTTTATTAGCACTAAAAGATCTATTCTGTGGTGTTTTTCAAAAACTAAACACAGTAAAATTCCAAGTGGAATCTGCTATTTCATATAGAATATAAGTAGTAAATTGCTTAGGACAATTGGTTAAAAGTTTTGAAATGAAACCTATATTCTGTGTGTGTCCAAGAAAATCCCCCTCCCAAAAAGAACCTCTACAGAGTTATGATATCGTGTAAAAAAGAAAGCTCCAGCCCTAACAGGTATGGCTCAGTTGGTTGGGCATCATTCCATAAAGCCAAAGGTCACTGGTTTGATTCCCAGTCAGGGTACTTGCCTTGGTTGCAGGTTCTGTCGCCAGCTGGGGCACGCATGAAAGTCAACCAATCAATTTTACTCTCTCAGGTCGGCATTTCTCCCTCCCTTCCCCTCTCTCTAAAAATAAATAAATAAAATCTTTAAAAGAAAACTTCAGAGGTTTTTCTCTTCCATCCTGCTCAATCTATTCACAACTCTTAGAAATTTGCTGAACTTTTTAAGTATATGAGGTGTGAGGTTGTTTGCTTTAAGAGTAAATTTTTGAGTTTTGTTTTCTTTTAGAAAATTTAGCAATATCCTTATAATTTTCTAATTAAGTTTTTCAAACAGATATTATTGTCCCTGATTTTTGTCTAACTCCAGTGTCAGAATACTATGTATTTTAAAATTGCCTGTTTTTTTCAATTTTCTTCTTATGTTTTTGCTTGACTGATTATGCTGTTCCAATGCTAAATGTTATGTATAAGAGGTCTTAAAATGTGTGGCTTCAAATGTTGTTACCTTCCAAAAGAGCAGAATTTGTTTGTGCTGCTCTGACAGGCAGTTAAGGTAAGAAACATATCACTTTAATCCCATCATGTATTGGGCTGATTCAAACCTGGGCTTCCCAAAGGCAGATCTGTTTCCTGTCAATCTTACTCATAGGGTTTTTTGCACTTAAAGGGTCCCAATTTAAGCCAGGGAATGTTGCCAGGCCACCCCTTCCTTGGTAGACCCTAAATGCCAACTTCTGCTCTCTCCACCCTGTGAGACACAAGAAGTTTTGTTCAGCTTCAGCCTGTCAGCTGCTGATTTAGAATCAGCAAATGCCTTTAAAGGGAAAGCAGAAGCATCAGATGTTACCTTTGCTGAGTTCTTCTTCTTTCCTGGCTCCTAGTTCCTGAAGCCTTTACTTCCTCAGTAACTCGCTGATATCTTCAAATATATTTTTAAGAATGATTGTATTTAGCTTGTTATTGTTCTTTCCTGGAAGATTGTCTCCCCCACCACTGCTGAGAGTAAAAATTCAATGTCAATGTAAGAACTGCCAAATTGTTAAAAAAATCTATGAATTTATTAGAGTTTATTTGAGCCAAACAAAGGACACACCTAAAAGCCAGATCTCAACAAAATGAGAAAAGTGCTTCCCGGAATGACAATTTGCAGTACGGTTGGAATTAAGGAGGGCATGTAAGGAAGATTACGTGAATGTGGGAGAGAGCAAGGCTAGGGGATCTCTATAAGTGAATTACAGGATGGCTAACAAGATTATGTGCTTTCTTGAGGGTTGGTTATGCTTCCAAGGAGTTTGAAAAGGAGGCACAGCAAAGGTGTGTTAATCTAGGCACACAAAGACACTGGGTAGGTGAAGATAAACATTTCATAGGCCTGGGGTGTGACTACCCACCAGGACCTTCCCAGTTAAAACTTTATGATCAGATCACCCTGTGAGGCTACTTCCATCAAGATTTATTAGAGAACCCCTTTTTCATCCACAGATACATATGGTTTTTAAAGTCCTTGTACAGACACTAGTGGATTTTCCTCTTTTATGTCAATCCTTTGGGGCAAAAAGGATGGAAAGCACTGTTCCCACTGTACAGACTGGAAACTGAGAATGAGTAATCGTAAATGATCTTCCCAAATTAGGCAATAGACTGTCTTCCGATTGCCTAGAAGACAGAACTGTTTCTCCTCATGTGGCCTTACAATTTTTCTTATTAAATTCATTTTCCCTTTCAAACAATTTCCAAGAAAATGAACTAAGAAAATGCTCATTTCCAAGAAAATGAGCATTGATATGTATATAGTTGTTTCTCAACATGAATATTTTGAATACATCTCTTTATGCAGTTTATCTGGCTATATGTGAAGAGAACATATACTTTGATTTGGATTAGATTTATAGTCTCCTTTTTCTAGAAGCTTGGCTGTGAAGGGAAAGATAAAGGTGAGGTCAAAAGGGACACAGGATGACCGGAGGCTTATTTATTAGTTTAAGCTGACACATGGAGGACACATTAGCTGACTGACAGGAAGGAGCCCACTAGATGGAGAAGCAGGAGATATCTGTGTGAAAGGTACTTAGAGCAAAATCCCAGAGAAGACACAGAAGAAATAAGATCTAAGTCAGATAAAAGGATTTGTTTAAGACAGAAAAAGTTTCTGTCTTCCTCAGAAGCAAAAAGAGTCATGATGCAAAAGGATCAAAGGAGCTACAGTACTCACAAAATTTTGGAAAAAGA